AGGGATGTCCGTGAATGGCCTTTGCAGGTATCATGGCTTGGCCAGAGTACACCTACTACCCTCTGGCTCCCCTGGACACTTTGTGTTTGGCTACATCAAGGCAACACTGTTCCCTTCTCCAGGTTCTACTTTAGCCATTCTTGACAACGCTGTGTGCACTCAAGTTTTGGTAAGGACTCCGCCCTTGGAGGCTAACAGGCTATGGGGTGAGATGTGTCCATGGGATCTCTTAAAACCCCCAAGAAGGAGGGTCACTCAAGAGGTACAAACTCTGGGTAGTCCAAGGAATGGGGGGATGCCTTTAGGGTGGAACATGGATGCCTCTCTGGGAGGTGGGGTGCTGTTGTCTGTTCAGCTGGCGGAGAAATGTCAGTGGCTCATCCTGAAATCACTTCATTGCCTTCCAGTTTACTTCCTTTTTAGGGAAGCATATTTCTCCCTTCTAGAAGTAGTCCTCTTGAATATGACTTTCCTAGCCCTTTAACATTTGGTCACTATAATTCATCTCTGAGGGTGTCTATCACAGAGTTGAAGATGCGTGGAGGGTAGGGAGTGGCTCTTCTAGAATCTGTACATAAACTTGCCCATTTCATTGTGCAGTTTCTGGGTGAGTTCCAGAGTCCATGCCAGTTATCCCCCACAGTGGGTCTTTGATGACATCTGAGTCCCATTTCTGACAGTGCCCTCCACAGGACACAGCCTGGGCACACTGTGCTCCTAGAGACTGGGGACAGGCCCCCTTTTTTTTTTTCTTAAGTATATTTATTTATTTTGAGAGAGAGAGCAAGCCCGAGAGAGAGGGGAGAGAGAGAGACTGCCAAGCAGCCTCCACACTGACAGTGCAGAGCCTAACACAGAGCTTGAACTCACACACTGTGAGATCATGATGTGTGCTGCAGTTGGGTCAGACATTTAACTGACTGAGACACCCAGGCACCCCTAGGGGCAGACCTTCTTAAGAGCCACACTGTGGTTTCACTCCTGAGGTACCCTGTGTCCTGAGCAGTAGGTCAGACAAGCTGCTTCCAACCCGTCCCTGATACTTCCTCCAGGAAGCCCTCAGAATTTCATTTCACTCTTAATGGTGTTGTTCCTGGGGGGTGCTGTGTTACTGAATCCCTATCATGTAGGGCACCATGTCAAGTGGCAATTAAAGGGTCTGGGAGTCCTCTCCAAGGTGGAGATGGGTGGCAGCTGGATCATACCTCACCTCTGCCCTAGTGGACTTCACTTGTTCATTACATACCACCATAGGCATCTGTGTTGTTGGGTATAACCAGACTGTTCATTTCATGCATTCTCTATGCATTCAACAAATATGTACTGAGTGCTTTTCATATGCCATGGCCAGTGCCTGCCCAGAGCTGGGATCAAGGCATCCATGGGGGCAGGGGCTGTGTCTATCTTATTTATTTATGTTTCTCCAGCACCCAGCAGAGCACCTGGCACACAGAGTGTGTTCAAAAACATTTGCTATTAAATAGCATTATCATTGTTATAGGAACTATAATCTCAGCTCACCCCTTGGCCACTACCCAGAGAGAAGCAGGGAGGGCATGAGGGGCCAAGAAGCAGGAAGACTTCTGCCTCTGCTGCCCTGGAGTCCACACTCAGTGATGCTGTCCTTCAGGGGTTCCAAGTGGCTCAGGCATTATGCCCAGGTCCTCTGTGAACAGTCAGGTCTGTCCAAGGTCAGGAGAAACCACAATGCTTTTTCCTCAATGGGCTGGCAAGCTCCAGCAGGAGAAGAAGCCTCTGGAAGATGCCCTTGGGGCTGAGGCGAGGGGAAGGGGGAGGGAAGTTCTAGGACAAGAACAACCTCAGACTGAGGGTGAGGCCAACCTAGGGAGTGCCCAGCGTAGGAAGCGGACCTGGGTGGCGGTAGAGTGAAGGTAGTGGAGCATCCCATGAGGATACCTTCCTGTGAGGTTGCTAGAGGTTGGTCAGAAAGCTCAGACCCTGACCCGCCCCATCCTGGTCCAGTGGCCATAGGTCTCTGGATGGAGTCTTGCCCATTCAGACTCAGCTCCTCAGGCCAATGCATCTCTTCCTGAGGCCCAGCTCCCTCTCCCCAGTCAATAGTCTGGATTCCAAGGGGATTTAAATCCCTGAATGGGCATCCCCTCTTTACCAGACACCCAGTCCACAGTACTGACCACTGCAGGGCCCCAGAGGACAGCCAAGGAAGAACCTGAGAAGCCCCCATTTTAGGGTAGCCTGTTTGACCTGGCTCCAGGCCCCATAGCTTCTGGTCACCCAGAGGTCTGCTCTCCAAGAGACCTGCTAGTCAAGACCAGGACTCTGAGAGTCTGTAGGATGGAGAGAACAGCAACATGTGGCAAGGCTGGATGAGGAGGGGCTGTGCGGGCCTTCTGTAGGGCTAGGACTTGAGCCTACAGTAATAGGGAGCCTGGACAGGCCTGAGGCAGGGTTTGAAGGGCTCTGAAAGGAGCAGAGGCAGCCAGGAGCATGGACAGCAGGCCCTATACAAAAGGAAATGTGGGGTTGTGTAGCCTGTGAGGTGAGCTGAGAGCTGAGGTTGACAGGACTCAGTCAAGGAGGCAACAAAGCTGGCCTTTGAGCTGTGTTTGGTGCCACAGAACATGTAGGGGAGGGCGTGCCTGTGACCAAGGGAGTTTCCCAGCTCTAGTTTTGTGCTATTTGATCCCTCAACAAATACTTACGGAGTACCTGCTGTGTGTGTAGCCTAGACTGGATTAACTGGACTTGGAAGTGGGATGGCGACTCCCCACCCTGCTGGGTCTCCTCTGGGGGCTGAGAGCTAGTGTCTCCAGAGGGAGTCAGTCTCTGAGAGTCCAAACAGGGACAGAGCTGACTCTAACAATTGAAGCCGATTTCCTGGGTCTGAGCCAAATTCCACGACAGACACAAAAGCAGAACCAATTCCTGTTAGGAAACTGAGCCTTGGGGAGGGTGAGTGACCACTTCAAGGTGACACAGCTTCTAAGCAGTTCATCTGGAGCTTAAGACCCTGCCCTCGTGGCTTTATGCCATGCCTTTTGCAGCAGGGACTGGATGTGTCTGAGTCCTACTGACAACCTCCAACAGCACCCCTGTCAGACCTGCTTTGTGTCTATTTTCACAGAGAAAACCTGTCTGCTCTGGGTCCCAACAAAGGGGCTGCCAGGCAGCAGGGCAGGGGCAGGTTTACCCAGCTGGGCCCAGGGAGGCCCTGGCCCTGAGGCTTGGGAGTGGAGGGTGTTGGGAGGAGTGGCATCACACACAAGGGGGAGGCAGCAGACAGCGGGAGAGCCAGAGGGCAGCTCAGCCAGCCCAGGCAGGGAAGTGACAAAACAGGCTGTTGGCGGTGGCAGTGAGATTGAGTGGGATTGAGTGTTGTGCAGATGGGGCCTCAAGAAGGCAGCTTATAAAGGCACCATGGTTTTGCTCTGCCACAAGGTTACCTCCATTCTTACCTTCTATCCTACTTGTCATTCAGGCTCGAGTTGTGCAGGCAGCCTGCCCTAGATTACCCAGCCTCCCCTGGCACCAGATGGCTCAATTCTACCTGTATCCTCCATAGAAAAGCCCGACCCAGGGGTTCTTAGGTTTCCAGCTTCCCCTGACAGTTGAGGACTTCTATCAGCCAACCATGCTGATCTCTGTGCAGAGAAGGAGCCTCCTTTTATAAATCAGCTCCTCCAGGCGGAGCAGCAGAAGAATCGCGGAGCATGGACTATGTGCTCATTCTGTGCCTTGGAGACTCGTGGCTTCGGCCTGACCATCACCATGCTCTGGCACAAGCAGGGATGCAGGACCCTCCGCTTCTCAGATCAGGGAGGGAGACATGGCTGTCAGGTGTAAGGCTCCACCAAAGGCGAAGGGATAACAAAGAGGAAACAAGCATGGGGTGTGTGGAATCTAGATACTGGGGCTCCTTATACACACGCCACCATTCATCTGTCAGTTTGGGACTCACTGCCTAGGCCTGGATTGGAGCCCTGCCCCAGTTCACATATTCACAGACTCATTCAGAAGTGGCCTCCCAGGGCACTTAGATCTCTGGGCTGAGGACCCTCCTCCTCTTCCTGAGCTCTAGTGCTGATATCCAGGACCTCTTAAAGAGCTAGAGAGATCCAGGCCACTTCCATATCTCTAGGCTTCCAGAAACATAAAAATGAAAGTAAAGTAAAAATAGTGTTTTAAGAGTTATGGCCTATGTTGTTTATTTTTTAATGTTTATTTGTTTATTGTGTGTGTGTGTTGAGAGAGAGAGAGAGAAGGAGATAGAGAATCCCAAGCAGGCCCTAGTTCAGGTCATCATTTCAGGGCTCGTGGGATTGAGACTCAGACTGGGCTCTGAGCTGAAATCAAGCATCCAATGCTTAATGGACTGAGCCACCCAGGTGCCCCTGCCTGGCCTATGCTGTTTATGCTTTGCTCACTTATTCAACAAAATTTTTTATTCAGTTCTACTTAATAAAATATTCAAATAGTTTTAGGAGCCTTTTATGTGTCAGGTACTGTTTTAGCCCTGAGTACCGCACAATTAAATGTTTGTAACACACACACAAAATGTACAGCATCATTTGTAGATAACTTCAAAGATTCAAATTCTAGGCTTCCTGGCCCACTTCCTCGGGCTAGACCTCCACAGTCCCCATCCCTCATGAATTTTATTTTTCATTATTTTTAAATTTTTAAAAAAGTTTTTGTTTATTTATTTTGAGGAAAACAGAGAGAGCACAAGTGGGGGGAGGGGCAGAGAAAGAGGGAGGATCCTAAGCAGGCTCCATGCAGTCAGTGCAGAGCTCGATGTGGGTCTCCATCTCACGAACCATGAGATCATGACCTGGGTCGAAATCAAGAGTAGAACGGTTAACCAACTGAGCCACTCAGGTGCCCCTTTATTTTTTAAGTAATCTCTACACCCAACAAGGGGCTGGAACTCATGACCCTGAGACCGAGAATTGCATGCTCGACTGAGCCAGCCAGATGCCCCCCATGATTTTCTCGTTGGTGTAGGTTTGACTCTGTCCCCTGCTCTGAGGGGTCTTGGGGACCACAATGAGATTAGTGAAGGCAGCAAAGGCTTCATTGGGAACCCAGCCAGCCTAGGCCTGTCTCCAGCCTGTCCTTCCAGCCCCGTCCTATGACTTATGGCTGCCTTAAAGCACCAGGTCCTTTAGTCACTGATTGGTCTCAGTGAAGTGTCCTGCCAGAGGTACACAGCACTGCCCAATGGTGCCTGTGGTTCCTCTCGTGGCTGAATCACCCGGCTGGCAGGAATGTCTAACTGACCTCACCTCCGGGCCTGGCCATAGGACACCCCAGCTGTGGCCACCTGGTGTGAGCCTGGCCGCCTGTGTTGCTGGGAGAGTGGGGACAGAGCTCTGCCACCAGAGTGTAGCAGCTGCCAGCTGGCCCAGGAGTCTGGGAATCCAGGTGCAAGGGGCCATGGGGATTAGAGCAGGAAGAGCTAGATCCAGGCCTACAAGGGTGAAGCTGGGCTGAGGCTACTCCAGGCCCATGGGCAGTCTCATGTCCTGGGTGGCTATTTTCTTGGCTTCCAAGAATCTTCAAAATCCTTTTCCACTTACTTTCCCTTCCAAGGCTAGGTCCGTAGCCGTGCAGACCCAGGCTTGGCAGCACGCAGTGGGAGGCAGAACCCTCAGAGGCAGGGGCTGCACGCACACCCCACATCTCTCATACCCGCTCACAATGGCAAAAGCATATATGTGACTTGAACCCCCACTGAGAGGACACCTGATCAGATCGTTTGCTGCCTGTGAGACCACCGAATTTGTGGGAACGCAGTCTTGCCTAAGCAATGGGGAGGGGACATGCCTCTCCCACATGAGAAGCCAGGGTCACTTCAAAAGAACGTCTAATGACAACTTCTATGGGCTGAGAATTAAACAAGAACTGTCTCATTTCAGAGAAGAGGAAGAGAAAATGGCAGGTCTGGACTAGGAATGCACCAAGTGTTGGAATGGGCACTGCCCAGAACTCTGAGACCAGCAGACCCTGAGAAGTAGCTGTGTCCAGGGTTAGCTGACCACAAAGGGCTGTGACAATCGGCATTCAAGCATGAAGCACTGTTGGCCCAAAGAAGGAGCACAAACAGTCTCCCTCAGAGAACCGTGATGTTCCAGAGCCAGGCAGAGATGGAGAGTGTCCATAATCTTGTGAAGATCTATTTATTATCCTACCACCAAGATAGAATCCCTGCAAGAAAATGACAGGTCCATCAAATTTGTGAATATAACAAATTGGCTTCCATAGTATGTTAAAATAGTTACCAACTTGGTGATTTTCCCAGACTACAAGGTTAGTTTAATATTACAAAATCCATTGATTAATAGTTTAAAAGGAAAGAAAAGAAACCCTCAAAAGGCATTTGATTAAATTTACCAATCATTCACAGTAAACAGTTGGAAAATCATGAAGGAAGGAAATGTTCTTAGCATTTTATTTTATTTTTTAATTTTTTTAAATGTTTATTTATTTTTGAGAGAGTGAGAGAAAGAGAGAGAACATAAGCAGGGAAGGGGCAGAGAGAAAGGGAGACACTGAATCCAGAGCAGGCTCCAGGCTCTGAGCTGTCAGCGTGGAGCCTGACGCGGGGCTCCAACTCACGATCCGGGAGATCATGCCCGGAGCCGAAGCCGGACGCTTAACTGACTGAGCCACCCAGGCACCCCAGCATTTTAAAGAATGTGTATTGGAAAGCAAAAGCCAATACTGGACTCAACACTATAAAATTTCCATTAATGTCAAGTCCAAACAATGTCCCTTTCATTACCCTGTATTGTATTTGCACAGTATTTCTCTGGATGTCCTAAAGGTGACAAAAAGGTGAGAAAAAGAAATAATGGTTAAGTAAAAGAAATAATTAATAGAGTCAAAATGATCATTACTGGCAGATGATATTGTGATTGTGCCTCCATAAAATCCAGGAGAATTGGTTGAAAACTATTATAATTAGTAGGGGGATCAAGTCAGGTGGAGCAGAATATGATAAGTTTGTATATGTATTTAGATTTTAATAGTTTTTAAAAGTGTCAAGTTGCAACTTAGAAAATATGATGAAAATAATTTACCATTCACACTCACAGTGACTCATGAGAAATATCTAGAAACTCACTTGGACACCTGAAAGGCATATAATCTTCGCTCTAGGATAGATAGAAAAATAAATAGACACATATGTCTGAGGCGCCTGGGTGGCTCAGTTGGTTAAGAGGCTGACTCTTTAATTTTTTTTTTTAACGTTTATTTATTTTTGAGACAGGAAGAGACAGCATGAATGGGGGAGGGTCAGAGAGAGGGAGACCCAGACTCTGAAGCAGGCTCCAGGTTCTGAGCTGTCAGCACAGAGCCTGATGCAGGGCTCAAACTCACGGAGTGCGAGATCATGACCTGAGCCAAAGTCAGACGCTTAACTGACTGAGCCACCCAGGCACCCCTTAAGAGGTTGACTCTTGATTTAAGCTCAGGTCATGATCTCACAGTTCAGTTCGTGGGTTCCAGCCCTGCATCAGGCTCCGTGCTGACAGGGCAGAGCCTGTTTGGGATTTTCTCTCTCCTTTGTTCTCTGCCCCTCCAGTTGTGCTCTCTTTCTCTCCCTCTCTTTCTCAAAATAAATAAATAAGCTTAAAACAAATAGACACATATGTTACATGCCTGGAAAACTCAACATTTTAAATTTATTAATTTAAAGCGCAAATCCAATCAAACTTCATTTGGGTGGGAAAAATGGACAAGATGACGCTGAGGCTCAACTGAAAGAGTAAATATGGATGTGTGATATTGCGATTTATAAAAAAATATGTTTTGTCATTCAGATTACTGAAATATATTTCTCATTTGTATCTGGTTTTCATCCAGTGTTCCTGGCTCACACCTCCTAGAACCCTAGGAATTTCCTGCGATAAAAGTGATAAATGTGTGTGTCTTTTGTTATGTTAACGAAGGTGACTTTTGCTTTCTACCCAAGGGTGGGGGTGGGGGGCAGAAGGGGCACTAGTTGCTAGGAGGACAAAGTATAGGATTAGAAGACTGGAACCTTCAATTCCACCCCTTCTCCACCTCTGGGAAGCAGAGAGGGGAGAGGGACAGGTTAAAGCAGCCTATGATCAATGACTTAGTCAATCATGGCTATGCAATGAAGCCTCCATAAAAAGCCAAAAGCACTAGGTTCTAAGAGCTTCTGTGTGGTGAACACATGGAGATGGGCAAGAGTGGCGTTCCTGGAGAGGGCCTGGAAGCTCTGCACCCTTTCCCCATACCTTGCCCTGTGTATCTGGGAGGAGGGCAGTCGGATAGGACTGAGCCCTTGATCTGTGGAATCTCATGCTATCTCTGGGTAGTTAATGTCAGAATTGAGTTGAATTCTTGGACATCCTGCTGGTGTCTGAGCATTGCTTGGTATTGTGTTGGAGGGGAATCCTTCCACACTGGAACTGAGTTTGGGAACACAAAAAGAGGATGAAAAACCAAAAATTGGATTAAAAGACTAATAAACTAAGATTTGCCCTTATAGGCATCTAAGTGAGCGATAAAGCTAAAGTAGTTTAGAATGTGGTGGAACCACAGGAAAAAATACATCAGGAGAACAAAAGGGGAGCTCAATGTAAGTGATAAAGGAAACATCTTAATTCAGAGGATAAGGAGTAGTTTATTCAGTAAATCAGGTTGGGGCCATTTATTATCTACACACACAAAAAATGGTTATAATCCGGGGTGCCTGGGTGGCTCAGTCACTTAAGTGTCTGAATCTGGCTCAGGTTGTGATCTCACGGTTTATGGGTTTGAGCCCCATGTCAGGCTGAGAGCTCAGAGCCTGGAGCCTGCTTCAGATTCTGTGTCTCCCTCTCTGCCCCTCCCCCACGTGCACTCAGTCAGTTTCTAAAAAATAAACATTAAAAAAAGTTTTTTTAAATGGTGATAATCCTACATACTATATACTTCTCCACACTATAAAATGACTTACAAATTGATTTACAATATTTCCAATGTATTTTTATAAACTATTTTTTTGTATACTTAAACACAAGGGCTGGTAGAAAATATAGATAAATATTTTTATAATAAACATCTTTTTCATCAAGGTAAACATTTTAAATATATTTTCCTATTACATATGGATAAAAAGTATCAGAAACATACTGTAAACTCTTGATAGTTGTTAGTTGCTGACAATAGC